ATAAGAAGAATTTGTATTTTCTAGTTGAAATATTTCGTTTTCTGTAAATTTATCTTTCCAACTTTGTTGCCTCTGGTCTTTTTGTGTCTCCTGTGTTCCAGGCTGGATGATGGGTGAAAGGCTCCATGATGGTGAAAGGGGCTGGTTCCCCAGTCGAGTAGTAGAGGAGATCCAGAGCAAGGAGATCCGAGCTCAGAACCTAAGAGAGGCCTTTAGGATCCAGCAAGCCCAGGAAGGTGGAGGAGGCTCGCAAATTGGAGCCAGGGTTGGTTTAAGGGCCGGGAGACGCACCCCAAAGGTCTCCAGCTCCTCCAGTTATTGGATTGATCAGATGGGTGAGAGCAGTGAAGGAAAGCAGTGAATCAGTAACAGTGATGAATGTCACCGTTCAGGACCATATGCACTAAGAGAAATATAATCAGGATACATGTGACTCGAGTCCCACACAGTGATCCTTGTCTCTTTGATTTTCATTTAGCAGTGGATGATTTTACACATCCACGGTTTTGGTCTCAGTGATCTGGGACAAGTGATCAAAGTGCTTGTCAGTGCTTGTCAGTAACCTTGTACAAGCAATGCTGCATGTCTCATTAATGTGTAGTGAAGGTGTATTGTAGGCCCACACACTGTGGTGTGTGATGCATGGAGCACAGCTCTGTGTTTGGTTGGGAGCTTTGTGTGGGAATGGCACGAACCCCACCAGTCTTAAGGTACTGTAAACACCCCTCAGCTGCATGGGCAAGTTTTTAATGTGTTCATTTCATTGTAAAATACCTTTCAACACCAACACCTGCAACACAAACATTCAAGTGTATGGTGGCCCTGAAGCTCAATGCACTGAAACTCAAGAAAGCACTTGTAAATAGCCAAAACAAAAGCACATGAGGAAATGATCATCAGTTTGGTCACATGTGCAGCATCTAGAAAAAATGCTGCAATGTGAGGAAATACAGTCGGATAGAGAAAACACAACCAAACACACACGATGCAACGAAATACAGACACACTGCAAGTCATACAACAGATATTAGTTTAAACAAAACAACCAAAACTAAAACTCATTGACTTAATGGAAATGAATTAGTTAGTTTTAGTATTCTGATTGCATGATTCAGATATTATTTGCCATTATTTGGATTCATTAATCTAGTTAGCACTAGCTAACATTAAATGTCTGCAATAACATCTGAACCATGCAATCAGAAACTTACAGAATAAAATAGTATTGTATGAAAATCACCAATGATTATTTAAAAGTCTTTGAACATTCATATAAGTGTGGCTAAATGTCCCTTTTGAGTATGAAACACCTGATTGCTTGCTGTAAGAGGAGGCTCTGTAACAACCTGCCATTAACGCAAGCTGAGCTACAGTGTTAAATACTCAAAACATATATTTTATGTGGAATATCACTTTAAAATGATCAGTTCAACTAAAGTGCACACACACACACACACACACACACACTCGGGATAAATCCTGTAATAGCAATTCTATGCCAAATAACTGCAATATATCGTAAATGTAATGAATGTATCAACAACAATGGATCAGCATGATTGTAAAGTCTGTGTCTTTAAATACAGCATGTGTACAGTAATGCAAACAGTCAATGTTTAAAGTAATAATTACTAAATAATTATTTCATTTTGTAAGATGTAAATTATTGTTCATAAAAAAGTATTAATCAGAGCTGTGTGTGACCTGCTGATTTTATTATTTGAATGTGTGGAATTTACAAATTCATATGCACAGCTGTTCTTGTCACACTGGTTTCAGTCTAGTGTCAGCTGGTTTCAGTCTAGTGTCAGCTGGTTTCAGTCTAGTGTCAGCTGGTTCAGTCTAGTGTCAGCTGTTTACATCTAGTGTCAGCTGGTTTCAGTCTAGTGTCAGCTGGTTTCAGTGTAGAGTCAGAGATTACCAGAGATTTATGGTGCATAAATCAGCTCCGACGTCCAACTTCCGAGGTAAATGGAACACAGTATTAGCCAGTGACGTGCAGTCAGGGGAGGCAGGTGAGGCAGTGCCTCACCTGCCATCATGGAAAGAAAAAAAAAGTAAAAAGAAAAAAAATTAATTAAATTGTTATATGTATACAGTGATTATACTATAAAGTTATTTTCCATTTAACTTCACCAGTTTTAGATTATTTTTATTCAAAATCGCTGAATTTTGACATTTACCGTTCAAATACTGAGAAGAGACTTGCGGTGAGGCAGCAGCCAGCTGAGCCTCACCATGGATTGCGCAATGACTCGGCTAACTGCTGGCCTGCTGTGCAGTGAGACTGTATTGCTATCTCTCTGTATGTCGCTATTAAAATGTTCAAACACTTTTGCTATATGAATTATATTATAAATTTCCATAGTTTAGTTAGCTGAGGTATATAATGTACAGTGTATTTTATCAACAACTGTATGTGTGTAACGTGTTTCTTGTGCTGAGCAATCATAAAACGGCTGCGAAGACGCACTGGGTGAGGCACGCAGTTCTCCTGCCTCATGGTAGAGGGCGCTAGTGATGAAGTCAGTGCCTCACCAGCCATGAACCTCACCGCACGTCACTGGTATTAGCAGCCAAAAGTGGGTTTGGTACATTATTTTTATTGCCTGGAAATCAAACTTCTGTTTTTTATGAGAGAATTTGTTTTGTACATTTACAGGTGTCAAAGTCTCAATTTGACTAATTATAAAAACTATCAGATAAAACAAAAAACACGCTCATAAATATAAAACTGAAGATAACTTTGTCAATAATATTTTCTGCTGTCCTAGCATTTATGCGTCTGTATTTAGTGACAGGTCACTAATTTGTTTGTCATATGAGTATGAAATTAAAGCCACTCTCCACACCCTCAGAAAATAATGAGCTCCCTGGTTGAGGAGGCAGACAGTGGTAATGAATTCCCAGATCTTGGAGGTGTGAGAAGTTGAGACAGGAGGTCGGCCTCTGGCTGCATCCCCACCAGACCATCATTCACACCTCTAATTGGTGTTTATGTTGTGTTAATTATTGCACCTGACACAAACAAAAACTTTACTTTGTTTTTTCCAATAGAGAACACACGTTAGTTTGCAAAACACTGGAAGTACCATAAAGTCTCAATATGTAGGAACTGCCCTTTTCTTTGGCATGATGCGCTCTCCATATTTCATACGAAGGCCTTGCTATTGTAAAATGACCATTTCCAACTCATGGCCCACTTGAAAATCTCAATAACGTTGGTGGCCCACATCTGGGGGGGAGTCACTTGTAGATTCACCATCTGTCACCATCAGCCCACAGGTTAGGAACCATTGGGCTACAGTTTGCCTGGAGCCCCAGAGTCCAGGATCGCCACTGGATAGAGGGTTTACTGTAGATGAACCAGTGTCTGCAGGACTGAAGTGGATCCCTTCAACAGACAGGTCCAGTATCCTACGCAGAGACTGTCTCCAGGACACATGATGATCAGCTAAGACCAAGACTGCGAAGGTCATGTCACCACATGACTCTTCAGGACTAACCACTAAGGTGACTGATGAGGAACAGATAGCTAAGAGATGCGACACTGACAATTTCAGTGGGTCCACATTAGGTCAGCAGAAACCACATCGGTCACACAGGACCATTAGACCACAGACCACCATCAACACAGTGTCAGGACCCATGTTGTTTGACTGTGTGTTGTAGAACACAGATGGTATTTTTATGCCTTTATTTGACACGGAAAGCGGGGAGAGACTGGAAATACAGGAGAGAGAGTGGGGGGAAGAGACCTGCAGTGTAGGGTCCGACCTGTTGGAAGTCGAACCGGGGACCTGGTCCTCAGGACTCACTGTGCCCATACGGTATGCACCCTAATGACTTGACCATCGGGACGCCCCGAAACACTGATGATTTCTTAAGAAAATTTCTATTGCTAAGGAATACGTTGTCTGTTGTCAGATATAAAATAAATATCACTTGTTAACCTGGACGTATTCCCATGCTGCTGCCATGTGGTGATGAAACCCTTATTTTATAACATTTAAAATGAATGATAATGATTATAACTCTGAGACATCAACAATTTTAGTCATTTGCTTTACATTTTCAGATCCTGTCATTTTTAAAATCTTAGGCTAAACTTTAAAAACTCACTTTTAATCTTTTAACTCTTATAAATGTGATGAATTGTGAAGGGATCATCTCCTCCCACTGCACACTGTCCACCGGGACAGACCGTCCAACCCTACTCCCCCCTGAGGGTCTGGTATTTAACCTCTGACGGACAGACACAGCTCACTGCCCTGACATGAAGAGACTTTTGTGTCCAGCTGACTGACGGTGAGTGTGAGAGCACAGTTGTGTTTGAATATGCTTTGAGGCGCTTCCTAATAAATCATTTTGATTCAAGGATTTATTGCTAGTGTTAATCATCACTGGCATAAATACCGAAGAAGTTTGTGCTGATTTACCTCAAACAGAAGTTTCTATCTCAGCCAACATTTTTGCGATGATGTTTGCAGTAAGATCTGCAGAACTGTTGAGAGAGTGTATGACGATTTCAGTGCGAATTGAAATAGTGGAAACCAGCTGCAAAGAATATTGCAGCGAATGCAGAGGTGAATATAACGTCCCTTTACGGGAGTCAGACGAAACAAAGGAGGAGGGAAACAACAGCTTAACGTATCACAGCAGTATCACAGCACTGGACCTCGTCAGTTATTTACTTTTACATTCCAGGTCCTCGTCAGAGAAGAAGCCGATCACAGTCGGATGGTGAAAGTGTTCTGAGGTCAAGAATTAGCTTTTTGAAACTGCAGTTAAATTCTGTTTTACTCAATCCTCGACTGCGGTTTTATGTCGTCCTCACCCTTCTTCATGCTACCCTTATAACAATTTTATTAATGATGGGCATATTATTAAAAATTTACATTTTAGCACAGTAATCTTGGAGTAATTCCCATCTTAGCGCACATTTTATTTTAAATGAAGAAATACTGACCTAAACTATGTTTCAGTCTCTCTCAGGTCAGATGGAGCCAGCGCTCTGCTACGAGTCCAGAAACGTCTCATGTCAGAGGACCATCTACCCCTTGCCCATACGCATCACCCTCTACCTGATTCTGGGCATCACAGTCATCCTGACAGTGTGTGGAAACCTTTTGGTCACTGTCTCAATCGCCTATTTCAAGCAACTCCACACTCCAACCAACTACCTGATTGCCTCTCTGGCTGTGTCTGACCTCCTTCTAGGAGTGTTGGTCATGTTTCCCAGTATGATTCAGTGTGTTGAGACTTGCTGGTATTTCGGCGACGTCTTCTGTAACGTCTACATGAGCTCTGATGTCATGTTGTGTACAGCATCAATTCTGAATCTGTCTTTTATATCACTTGACCGACACTATGCCGTTTGTCAGCCTCTGCTATACAGAAGAAAAGTAACTGTGAACGTTGTGTTGATCATGATTCTGCTCAGCTGGAGTGTTTCAGCTCTCATAGGCTTTGGGATGATTTTTCTGAAGCTAAATATTTGGGGGGTGGAGGAGTTCTATTACAACCATGTCGCTTGTGAGGGAGGGTGTGTCTTGTTTCAGAGTGGACTGTCGAGTACAGTCTCATCAGTTCTTTCCTTTTACATTCCAGGAATAATAATGCTTGGCGTTTACCTGAAGATCTTCCTGGTGGCGCAGAGACAGCTGCGCAGCATACAGAACGCAGGAACATTGACCACGAGTCAGACTAAAGCCACTAAAACACTCGCCATCATAATGGGGGCGTTTCTTTCCTTCTGGACTCCTTTTTTTGTCTGTAACATCATTGATCCTTTCATCAGTTACTCAACACCAGCAGCGGTGTTTGAAACACTTGTGTGGGTGGGCTACTTGAATTCCACTGTGAACCCTTTGATATACGCCTTCTTCTACAGCTGGTTCAGGAAGGCGTTTCGTTTATTCACCTCAGGTACAGTCTTTAAATCGGACATTTCAGAGACGACGCTTTTCACATAAACTGATGCAGAGCAGAAGTCTCAGAGGCGGATTTTAATTCAAAGACACAGTCGTTGAAATGTGCCATTTCCTATCACTTGATGTGCTAAGGGGTCAGTGGTAAAGAGCAACGTTCAGGGAATCCAGGAGTACCAGTACTTTTGGTCAGCTTTTGGGGTTGATCTGAGGGAGGACAGCCTGCCCCACCTTTTATTTGCCCTGAAATGCAGTGAAAGGAGCTAAGCTACGCTGTCAATTGTCAAAGCTTGCCTTGTTGCAGGTTTAAAGTTCTGTAAGAACATAAAGAAACGTTTCATAGTGAGCACAAAAACAACAAAACCACCGGGCAATAGTACAGCTCCCCCTGACTAAAGTACTCTGATGATATATGCTGAATTATACCGGTAAATAAGGTATGGCATACAAAAATGAATAATTAACTTACTTGCCAATATTACCTCTGATAACTACACCATGTGGTAGAAGACCACCCATACGCAAATTGTCATGGTTTGCCATGGCAGACACCTTTTGTTAGTTTGTTTGGACTTTTGTCACTTCCTGTTTTATTTTGTAATTGGTTTCCTTGTGTGTCTCAATGGTTTTACTTCCTGTCTTGGTGCGGTTTCTGTGTGGTGATTATCTGCCCCGCCCTAATGTGTTTCACCTGTGTTCAATCACCCTCGCCTCCCTTGTGTCTATATAATCTTTGTGCTCCCCTGTGTCTGTGTCGGTTCGTCTGTTCATCTCTGGATTGTACTTGATCTGTTCATCTATGGTTTTCCTGCCAGTTGTTCAAGTCTGGTTTGTCTTCAGTCCGTTCATGTTGCCAGTTCTTGTCTCCTGTTGTCATCCCCTGTGGTTCCTTGTGTTTTGCCTGTTGTTTAAGTTCTTGTGTTTCCCTGTGCTTCACCTGTGTTTTCCCGTGCTTCACCAGTGTTGTAAGCTCTTTAAGTTAATGAACCTTTTTGCACCCCATCCCCCTGTGTTGGCTGCATTTTGGGTCCAGTCTTACCCGCATAGTGACAGATCGTGACACAAATTGGATATATTGACATACACTGAATTTCCATATATGAAATATATGTGCATATAAAGTAAATATTATGTATAAAAACTATTAGAAATTGGAAAAACTTCATATATTGACATGTATGTCTAGTGCATACAAATATGTATGTATGTGTATGTATGTGTATACTGTAGACACATGTTAAATGTATATCCATCCCAAAGCCTGTCAGTATATGTTGATATTATAAACAGTGGGGTCCAAAAGTCTGAGACAATTTTCCAGAATGCGAAGTGCAACAAAATTAAAATTAATGAGAAAATAATAATACAAATATAGAATATAGAATTTTTGTATTTAAATTGTTTTAATAAACTTGCAAAAAAAATTAACATAGATAATCTTGCACTTATATAGCACTTTCGTAGTCTTACTGACCAATCAAAGCGCTTTATAATACTTGCCACATTCACAAATCACACGCTGATGGAACAGCAATCAGGGGCAATACAGGGTTCAGTATCTTGCCAAAGGATACGCCACCATGCGGCCTGGAGGAGCTGAGGATCAAACCACCGACCTTCTAACTAATGGATGACCTGCCTTACCTCCTGAGCCACAGCCGCCTCATATAATGATGCCTGAATGTTATATGATGCTACATGTTATAAAATATAAAAACTCAGATATTTCACTATATTTACAATGGGTATTTCATATATATTATAAACTTATATTTTCATATATTCAGGAGATGTGCTAAAAATATATCCCCATCATCATTCTTGATATAGGGACACAGCTTATTCGTCAGTTCAGCTGATTGTATCATCTGCTATGATGAGTTTCTGCTGAAAAACAACTGCATAAAACTATCTATCTAGTTAGCTAACTTATCTTTTTATTTGTTTTTCTGTTGAATTGTATTTAAAGTTAAAGGAAGTCCACTGAAAAGACAAAAGACAGATGCATGGTTTCCAAAGTCAATGACTAATTGTGTTAAATATTAGTGATTATGATTTTTATATCTCATCCACTCCTGGCGCCTTGTCGCTTCTTAACTTCCTCAGCGACCTCTGACAAGGATATGGGCAAGTCTTTCCCCAAGTCTTAACACTCTGCCCCCTCCTTGGAGGACACGTTGGTTGGGTTCAGGAGTTGCTCAAAATGCTCCATCCACCGGCCGGACATGTTCCAGTCCAAGTTAGCAGTACTCCCCTGCTGGGGAGCGTGGGCTTCACCCTGCTTCATCTTCCTGAGATGCTGCATGGTTTGCCAGAACCTCCCTGAGGTCAACCAAAAGTCGTTATCCATGGCCTCCCCAAACTCGTTCCACACACAGATTTTAGCATTCAGGACCACCGCAGCAACAGTGGCTTTGGCCTGCTGGTCCCTGTCTGATGCTTCAGGAGACACATGGGCCAGGCCTTCTACAGCTTGACAGCTTCCACAGTGGAAGCTTTGAACATGGCCCACTCAGAACAGGGTATTTGTTATGGCTAATCCATAGCACAGAAGTCCAACAACAAAGCACCACTCGAGTTTAGATCAGACAGACTGTTCCTCGCAATTACCCCCCTCAAGGTTTCTCCATCATCGCCTACATCAGGATTGAATTCCCCATAAAGAACTTTAGAGTCCCAGGGAGGTGCCTCTTGCAGAAGCACAGAGACTCCAAGAAGGTCAAATACTCTGAACTGATAACAGTCAAAGCCTTACCCATAGCAACTTCAAGCCGCATTGAGGCAACCCTCTTGTTCTCTGGGGAAAACCCCAACAGGGTGGTGCTCAGCCAGTATCCTCACACCTGCCCTGTACCTCTCACCATGGGCAGCTCCAAAAGAGGAGTCCAGCCCCTTTTCAGAAGTTTGGTTTCAGAGCCAGTGCTCCCGCACCTCCATCCCTGCAGGTGGTGGGCCCACAAAGAGGTGGTCCCATGTAATTTCTGCAGGCTGTGCCCAATCAGGCCCCTTGGCCCTGGTTTCCCTAATGAGGGTGATGTGATGCAGTTTCAAAGATGGCTGATCATCAGTTATTGCTGCTACCTACGACATTGTGAGAAAACACCTGTGATTGGCAGAAAGTGAGAGGGACAGGTTGTTGTTCCTGCTAGTTTGAGGAGTGGCAGCTAGTCTACAGCGGTAGTTGGTGAAGTCAGTTGGTAGCGCTGAGATTACACTGTAAAACCAGTTTGTTTTTTTGTTGTTGGCTATGGCCCACAGTTTTCAGTCAACGAATGAAGAACCAGTGAAACAAGCTAACAACCCGCAGGTTCATTACTGAGGGAAGATACAATATGTTATTGTTATCACCATAGTTTTCACCCTCCAACATTTACTCAGAGTACAGTTTAACTGCTTGTAGTTAGTTTTAGTTTTACTTGTACTTGAGTAACAATTTCCACCCCTGGTGGTGCAACACATGAATCACACTCATTCATTAATTTCATTTTTTTGTATTTAATTTACTATTACAGTAGTAAAACCACATTACAGTTGTCTATGACTCCCCTCAAAGTTTGAAGCAGTTCTGATTGGATGGCAGAGTGAGGTATATTTGTGGGTGGTGCCTCTGCTGCGTCTTTTCTTACAAGACTGAGATCACCAGTGTGTTTCTCCCCCTCAGCACACACCTCTGCTGCAGTTGTGGTGTCTATCTCTCTCTGCTGTGGTTTTGTCATCTGTCTTTGGGTTTATGATGAGTGACCTGTCTCAGGACCAGCACTGTTTTCCAGGCTCTAATGCCTCGTGTGTTATGGCTCAGTTCAGCGTGGGGACCAGGATTAGCCTTTATTTGTTGTTTGCTTCAGGCATACTGGTCACTGTTTTAGGGAACGGTGTTGTCATTGTGTCGATAGGTCATTTTAAGCAGCTGCAGAATCCCACCAATGTGCTTGTTTTATCTCTTGCTCTTGCCGACCTTCTTGTGGGAGTTATTGTGATGCCCTTCAGCGCCATTCGGACCGTTCATGGCTGCTGGTTCTACGGTGATGACTTCTGTCAGTTGCATTCTAGTTTTGACATGTTTCTTACCACTGTATCTATCTTCCACCTGGTCTGCATTGCTGTAGACAGACAACAAGCAATATGCAATCCTTTGCATTATTCCAGGAAAATCACAATGTCAGTGGCCTGTATTATGGTCTATGTGAGCTGGGCACTGGCTGCTCTCTTTTCCTATGGACTACTTTACTCGAAGGCCAACGTAGCAGGATTAGAGGAGTATATGGTGTCAATAAACTGCTTTGGTAGTTGTTACCTTCTCTTTAACCCCCTTTGGGGAATCCTGGACAGTATTA